GTTTCTCAAACCTTTAATTTTTTCATTTTGAAAAAAATAGGAATATTATTGTAGTTTTAGGTTCACAGTTCCTACAAACTTTATAGTTATGGGTGCATTTATAAATCATCTGACTGACTGATTTGCCGAAGTTCCTTAATTTTAAGGTTGATCGATTCTATCGACACTTACATGTGAGACTGATCTCATCCACTGACGGTTTTCCGTCACATTTACCCTGCTGGGGTCACGAGGGGTGCTGGTGCCTATCTCCAGAAGTCTATGGGTGAGAGGCGGGGTAAATCCTAGATGGGTCGCCAGTCTATCACAGGGCAACACAGAGACACACAGGACAAACGACTGCTCGAGGAAGCCAGAGTACCTGGAGAGAACCCACGCATGCACTGGGAGAACATGCAGCCTCCATGCAGAAAGACGGGGCCGGTGTTCTGTCAGATGAGCATACCTCGTCAGGCGAGCATACCCATAGTCAATATGCATGCGCAAGACGTCAGATTAGCCTTTATCCCTCTATTTTTGTATGAAAAATAGACTTTAAACTACGGTACCTCAACGGACATGTATCCCTTTAGTCATGTTAAAAAAATAAACAATTTAAGGTGAGGTCACCATGCGCTTAAAAAAAACCCAAAAAGTAAGTCATTAAATTGTTTTTTTGTACATGACTTAAGGGATACACGCCAGTTGAGGTAGTTTAAAGATTATATTTCGTACAAAACTAAAGGGATAAACGGTTATTGACTAGAACACCAGTGCTACCCACTGCGCCACTGTGCAGCCCTGTTCTAAACATTTCATTTATATCGGAGAGCACAACCCTATTGTCAGTTAAAACCAAGTTTAAATTGTTTTTTAGGTAATTTTAATATTTTTCAGTAAATGACATTGGAGCATTGATGGTATATACTGCCCTGATAACAGCTGACTCTTTCAATTCTTAAGAAAATCATTAACCAAGGAAATAAACTGTTCAGGCTTTTAAAATTTCTGTGATTCTTGATCTCCTAGTAAACTTGAATGGGTGCATGCTTATGTAAAAATCAGAATTGGCTCTTATGGTTATAATCTGGAGTATCAGTGACAGTATTATCCAAACATTTCAGGATAATCTTAACTGTTTGTTTTTTTTCACACAAAATGTTGTTTTTTTGTGTTTTTTTGTTTTTGTTTTTTTTTTTAATTAACTGTAACATCTTAGCAATCACAGTTTTGTGTTTTGTGTCTCTGAAACTCAAAAATAAATGTATTAAAAGATAATAATAAGTGAGAAAGTGATATAGTTCTGAACACAAACATCTTTAAAGCAGATGTTTTTAGACCTTTACAGACTGGATTAAAGTATCATTGGTTAAGTTAATGTAACAAATGTTATATTGATCTTATCTGATTTGATTAGATGCCAAAATCAGCATATTGGCTTTTATTACACCGTCCAATCAGAGGTGAATGTCATTTCATGATGAACTAATTATACGACCTGATTACTGAACAAGGTTTAGCTGGTGTGTGTGGTATGCCGCTAGCGTAGCGTTTGAAGCTTCATTTAAAGACACTGATCTAAAATGGGATTTGATTTGGCAAGATATCCCATAAGAAGCACATCTGGGTTTTATTCAGTAGTTAGATTTTTTTCAGTTAAGTTTTTTTTTATTTTATTTTTTTTACTTCAGACTCCAACTTTAGTAACAATGGAGATGTCAAGAAGATCAAGTTTTTGTCTGTTGAGAAGCACCTTGGTTCGGTTTCTCCCAATATAGTTTTTATCAAAATAAGGCAAAGTGAACAAAACTCTTTACAAAAGCAGAATGTTTATTAGAATTTGTTTAGATAATCCATCATTGTTTACTTTTAAGACGCATAGACTTGACCATTTTCTGCTGTGGATACCTGTTCCCCCCTGGATGGCCCTAGTACATATTGGAAGCTTATATGAAACTTTAGGAAATGAGCAAGAATTTTGAAATAGATTTGTTGAAGAGCTTCATTAAAGTTTCATCTCACCACTGTTTTTTTTTTATTTTATTTAACTTACTTTATTATAACATTTTCTATTAGTAATATTCTGGCATAAAAGTAGTAAGATGCTCTTGTATGTGTGGTCCTTGATTTTAAGAAAACTGGTCTTAAATTCCCTGAAAAGTTCTTTAATTTTATGTTAACCAAGGTGTGGTAATCCAGTCTGATGTTTGTTTTAATTTAAAAAATCCATTCAAAGTGCTTTGATTTAACATGTTTAGCTAAAGGGTTCACTGGAAAAAATCAAAATCTAGATAAGTAATTTTTTCTTAAAAAAAGTGCATTTGTTCTTGAATCGAGGAGGTAAAAATGACATTTTGGCAATAGAACAAGACAATTTACATTTAAATTAAGAAAATACAATTGTGTGGTCTTATTTCAAGTGCATTTATCTAATTATCCTATTTTGAGAGTAAAAATATTCATTCCATTGGCAGATCATTTAATTTACCTACTCAAATTAAGGGTAAATACACTTAATTTAAGACATTTTTATATATTTCTTGATCATTTTTCCAGTGTTCAACTGCTCCTGACTCTCTTCTACACTGCAAAAAAACATCTAGAAATAAGTTAAAATGTCTTAAATTAAGTATTTTCCCTTAATGTAAGCAGGTAAATAAGATGATTTGCCAATGGAATGAGTATTTTTACTCCTAAAATAAATAATTAGATAATATACACTCAAAATAAGACAAAGCAATTGTTTTTTTTTTCTTATTTTGAATGTAAATTGTCTTGTTTCATTGGCAAAGGGTCTTACTGACCTCCTAAATTAAAGAAAAAATGCACATAATTTTAGCAAAAATAACTTATTTAGATTGCCATTTTTTGCAGTGTAGTGGTCCTTCTAAATAAAGCTTGTGGATCATCTCTGTTTCATTTCTCCTCAGGTTTCACCATCGTCATCACATCGCTATGGCCCTATTTGGAGAAGGTATGAATCGCTTTCAATTTTATAAGTGGCTTCTTGGTAAAGTTGGGGGAGAGGATGTGTTCGTTAGCTGCGTTAAACCAGTCTGACCACATCAATCAAAGAAAGGAAAACGAAAGATGTGACAAGGAGGATTTTGGAGAATCAGTTCTGGATGAGAAAGAAAGCAATATCTTTAAAGTCAGAAATCCCCTGACTGTATCCATTATGCAGGCAGAGAAACAGCCAAATGTTTAGAGCATTGTGGAGTGTCACAACAAGGAAACAATAAATGCAAAAAAAAGTAAATTCTGTACAGATTTTTAGGTAAATTATTTCACTCTTCAAAGTTTCCACCATTTTTTTGAAGTTTGTTGCTTGGCGTGGAGTCAGACAGATTTTCGCACAGTAAACAGGTTCTGCCCCTGACCTGGTGGCTTGGGTTTCAGGTGGACAGCAGCGCAGACGCCAGCTTCCTGGGCTGGATGGTTGCAGCCTACAGTCTTGGCCAGATGGTGGCCTCGCCTCTGTTCGGCCTGTGGTCCAATCACCGGCCCCGGAAGGAGCCGCTGGTGTGCTCCGTCGCCATCAACCTGGCAGCTAATATCTACTACGCCTACGCGTACCTCCCAAAGACCAATAACAAATACCACATGCTCATTTCCAGAGCTTTTGTTGGCTTTGGAGCAGGTGATGCCTCACAGCTAAAACTTTTGGAAGATGTATTTGAAATTCCTCCAATTATCCTCCATGGTAACAGATGTTTGGTTCTCCACAGGTAATGTCGCTGTGTCGAGGTCATATGTTGCTGAAGCTACATCTCTGAAAGAGAGGACCGGAGCCATGGCCAACATGAGCGCCTGTCAGGCTCTGGGCTTCATCCTTGGACCAGGTGCTTCATGGGATGGAAATAATTTCCTACATAGAAAAAAAATGAATAAATAAGAACCTGTTCATGTGTGTGTCTGTGTGTTTTAGCGCTGCAGGCGTGCTTGTCCTTCGTTGGGGAAAACGGCGTCACAGTGAAGTTCCTGGAACTGCAGCTCAACATGTACACCACACCGGCTCTCCTGGCTGCAGCTTTTGCCCTCATTAACATCCTGCTGGTTCTGCTGGTGCTCAAGTCAGTGCACTATTACTCAACATGTCTCTTTATTCAGTGTTTGCGTTTCTGGTTCATAATGTGAGAACAGCAAGTTAAGATTACATATTTGCTCTGGTGAAGCGTTTCCCGGTCGATGAACTTTCCTCCACTGTTTCAGCTTTTATTGGCCATCACATTCGCTCTCCACTTTAGTCACTTATTTACTGTCCCCTGATGATCAAAATAAATTAAACTTAACAAAAACATTAAAAAAGAATCTGATTTTGTTGAAGTAATGATTTGGAAAATTCAAAGTGATACAGCCAATGGATAATTAGTATGATAAGCAAAATAAAGAAGTACTTATGAATTATTTTATGAGTGTAGAAACAGGATAAAGTTTTGAGTGAATTCAATTCAGCTTATTTTTATAGCCCCAATTCACAACACATTTCATCTCAAGGCACTTCAGACACATTTCAACCAGATCATACAGGAAGATTGGTTCAAATATGGGCATAGATGCAAGAAATCTTAATTCTTATCTGTTTGCATTGAAGGGGAAAATCATATGTTTAACCCCAGTGTGTCTTTTGAAGTATCCTCTAAATATATTACAATTTTCTGCTTGTTGTTTTGAATGGCAGTATTTCATTTAAATCAACTGGTTTCCTGGCATTAAGCTGCTCTTTGAACAGTATATTAAAGGTCAGGGTTTCCTAAAGTTTAGTATTGGATTGATTTCTCTATTCTAATATCAGGTTGGATTTGTTTGGGTCATTGGACCCAGCTGAGTCCAACATTCAATCATTGGCCTCCTGCTTCCCTCAAGCTCACATCTCACAATCTCACCATCTGCAGGGACCAATCGTTAAAGCTACAGTGTGTAATTTACAACGACATCTATTGGTCAGACTGCTGTTACTTGAACGCCATTCAACCACCCACTCCCAGCCCTTCAACAATACGGAGGCCATCATGGTACAAAACTGCTTCAGCGACATCCGCCTTACCTATCCTGTAAAGTGATGACGATGTTTATTACATCGCAGCATAATTTCGTCTAAAGTACATTGACAACTATAAGAATTAGGAGATATGAAAGTATCAGGAATATTATTGTTTTAGTGAAGACAAGTTTTTTTTTTTTACAAAATAGAAGACAAACAAAATAAAGTATAGAAAGGATAAAGCGGGGAATGCTCTTAAGAGGTTTGAGAGTGACTTTTAAAAAAGGCGTTTTAATTTAGCCCCAGAAGGAAGGTCTTGTATCCTACCTCCAACAGAGATACAGAACAGCTGATCCATCGTCTCTTCCGGCCCATAGGCGCCGTTTCCTGGCTGGCCTGTTGTGCTCCTCAGCTCTCTTCTTGAGCTTGCAGTGGCGATTTGCTCCTCTACTTCTGTGCTTCCTTAGCCTCATGGGGCGGCTCGTTCCAGTTTCTAGCTCTCTCATCCACTGCTCTCACACTGATTCCCCGCTGCTCCTGCCTGAGCTCAAGAACGCCGTCTCACCTTACCTCTGTTGTCCAGGCGATTCATCCCCCTGTTATGGGCACTCTGACCAAAACAAACATGGACCGAAGGCTTGAGAAAGATGCAAGTCTGCTCAGAAACTCCCCCACAAACACACATTCAAACCCACTCCTATGTAATTATAAATAGCAATTTCTATGGCAAACATAAAGATTGCTCAGAATTTCACAGGAGTTCGACCAACATGCTCAGCTGTTTACACGGCCAAGTGTCTGGTGAAGTTTTGTGCTTTAGGGGCATCAGAAAAATTATTTTGTTGAGATTTTGTTGCTGAAAAATAATCTTTTCACCTCTGTCATTCATACTACTAAATGGCTAAGTCACTTCAAAAAAGTCAAAAGTTATGTTACTAATTATTTCTCTAAAAAAGTAACCGAGTTAGTAACTCATTTACTGCTCAGTGAAGGTAGTTTATTACTAGCCAAAGTAACTGTGCAGTTAGTTTTTATGATCTAAAGTGTCAAACAATTTAGATAACTTTATATTTATTGGAATTTTAATATAACTAGAGGTTCCAAAAAAGTTAAAAATCAATCCACGTGACATTATTTCCAAGTTTGAAGACGTTTCAATTCCCATCCAGGAAGTTTTCCAATTCAAAATGTCAGAAATAGGGTTGGAAACGAAGATGGTTCCTATAATCTGCAAGTTTCTTAAGCAATTTCTAATACTCACGCATTATTCAGAGGATGTCTTTCCCAAAATGGAGTGCAATATGCTGGTGCAGATTCCCAGTCATCCAGGTCATAGTCAATTCAAAAAAAGCTTCCTGGATGGGAAGGGAAACGTTGGGAACGAAGTCCAGTGGATTGTTTTTTTTTTTTTGTTTTTTTTACAATGACTGTGTCCTGGGTGATTGAATTAATAATTCATACATCTGATTAAAAGGCCTACACATCTGAAAAGATTGAAAACTAATCTATAGATGTGATCCTGTTTCCTGTTTATAATAAAAGAAAAAAAAGATGTTTGGGCATTTATTTTTGTACATTGCCAGCCTTCAATTGGCTATAAAACAGGTATGAAGCAGAAAAATAATGATTTTCAAGCAATTTCACAAAGATAAAATATAAACATTGCAATAGAATTAAACGGGGATTACATTATTCCAAGAAGGAAAAAAAAACCCTATCGGGACTAATGGACCGAGTATTTCTGGGTGAAAAAACATAAACCATGCAAGTAAAACCACTACAGCCCTGAGGAAATAAAGAACATGTGTTGAATAAAGGCAGCAGCTGCCAGTCAGTGTTCAGATGATGTGAGGAGCTTCCTTTAATTACAGCATCTAATTGGTGTTGATAAAGTATTTGTTCCCACACATAATAAGTAAATCACATTTAGCCTTTAGTGAACGCTTTACTGCAGGAACGCTGTCATTGAATCAGTGGCTCTGTGTCATTCTCTCTTTATACTCATGCTGAAGTTAAGCGTCGCTGTTACTCAGGGTTTCCGTGGGTCATTAAAAATCATGAAATGTCATTAAACTTATTTTTTAAATTAAGGCCTTAATTGGCATTAAAATTAATTAAATGTGTTTATTGTGGCATTTTAAATGCTTTCTTAAAAAAATTTTTTTTTAAAACAATTTCATCAAACATATTATATCACGATATATTTGTGTGGAACTGCTTCCGGTTGATCGCAAAGCCGCATGTTCAGAAAAAGCTAGAGAATGGGGGGAAAAAATGCCAATTTCAATAAAAGTGGCTGGAAAAACGAGGAATTCGAGACATGGCTGCAGCCTGTCGATGGGTACCTGTTGGTGGCATTAAAATTATTTCTAAGCGCATTAAAAGAGCATTAAAAAGAATTAAGTTAGAGTTATTCATTCCTGTATAAACCCTGTTACTTACAGGTGCACGTTGCTGCCATGTTTCTTACACCAGGAAACTGTATTTATACACGTTAAGTAATGATTAATAAATCTGTTTAAAGGTTAGTACTGACTCACACCTTACTGACTTTTACAAACTAATTAGGTACAGTGCTCGTTATGGGAAAAGTACGGTAACATAGTTGTAACACGTTAAAGCGGCATACAAACAGAAGGAAAGAGTAGAACGCACTATTTATGGAAGGAATAATGAATAACTTTCAATAGAAATTTTCAATAAAGCTTCCCTAAATAAAAAAATAGTAGATGTTGGTGGCTGTGTTATTATTAAACTGTTCAACGGAGAGTATCATGATCACTTCATAAAAATATATTTTGTTCAGGTCTTTTTTATTTTTATTTTTTTTTAAATCATTCTGTTGAAGCCTGGTTGAAAAGCAATGCCTGATTTTCATTTGTTCATTTTTATAGAATCTTTATCTTGTATTATTTTTGTCAGATTCAAGGTATTTCTGTGACCATTGTGGGTTTTTCTTTGATTAAATCACCACTTGTGTCCACATGTGTATACTGTATGCTAGTTTGGGGGAGTGGTACGAATCACTAACAGAGTTTGACCTAAATATTGGTGGGGAAATGATAACGGCATTCACTGCTATAAATGCATGTTAACTTCTTGATACAATTATAAGCTTAATGGAAATCTCTTTAAGTGTTTAGACACCTTCCTGTTCTTTGACATATTAAATAAGTTCTAGTCTGTTTATTATTGTACCAGCTGAAATGTTGATCTTTTTCCTTTTTTGCCATTTAGAGAACACCGCGTGGATGAAGATGGAAAGCACATCAGATCCATTAATTACACCTCAGAGGGTATGGATTGTTTGCAGTGTTTGCTCAGATTGTTGTTTTTAAGCTTTGATCTGAAGCATTGGTACAAAATAGTATCAGGGCCATTATAGATATAAAATACAACTGGCAAAGGAAGAGTAGATATCCACAATAAAATGCTGAAATATCTAGATTATTATCAGAGAATATCCAAATTATACACTGAGATTGAAAAGTCGTAAAGTAGAGAGAACATTTTTGTTTTTTTATCACTTTAGCCTATTTACATAATACCAGTTCAATGCAGTTTACAGAGCAAGTTTAACCAAATCATACAGAAACTTTGGTTAAAAAAAATAATCTAAGGAAAAGCATGTGATTGCACGGAGTCACTGACTTTGCAGAATTTGCTCCTCCTGGATGATCATGTGACTGTAGACATATGCCTTCATTGCATTCCTGACTTTGTAGAAATCCCTCATATAAGCATGCACATAGCAATGTTGGAGAGGTCAATAACTTTCAACAGGAAGAACCTGGCAGTGTGAGCCGCCTTCTGCTGAGGCAAAATTGAGGTTCAAAGAGGCAGAAGCACTGATTTCTGAATATTAAAGTCATGTATATTCTCTGACATCATATGGGCAGACATTTGCAAAAAAAAAATATTAAGAAATGTATTGAAAATGTGATTTTAGTTTGATATATTACACTTCCATCCACCTGCATGTCTGCCAGGGTGGGCTGGTGCTTATCTATTTCAATCTTTGTACAAAAGGCAGAGTACATCCTTGATGGGTCACCAGCCCATTAAGGGGCAATTTAGAGATATATAACCATGCACACACAGCCCTAAGGCCCTTAGGGCAATTTAGAGATGCCAGTCAACCTAACAGAAATGTTTTGGGCTGTGAGAGAAATGGCAGCATCTGAAAGAAACTCACTTATAGGGAAAGCATGCCAACCTCAAGCAGAAAGAAGCTCAGCCAGGATTCAAACCAAGAACCTTCTTGCTGCTAGGCAACAGTTCAACAAACTGCGCCACAGTGTAGCCCATACTGTCTTTTAAAAATATTTTAAAACTAGAATGTGTTATTCACCAAGAGCCAACTTACCCAAGTTTGAAAAGGAAGAGGAAATAAGGAGAACTGAAACAATTGGCCTCATGCCACATTTTTGTATTCTTCTGTAAAATGTTCTTACTCCTACGGTGGGCTCCTACAAGTGCTCCACATCAGATTCAACAAACGTTCTTAACTTCAATAAATGGTCGGAAATTATCTTCCTAAACCTCATGCAGACCACCTGTGTGTAACTGAGCACGCTTTCATGAGAAATGTAAATCTGCATAATTACTGCCTTATAATTAATGCAGTATAAGGTTGCAACTTCTCTTAGAACTAAGGCTGCATTTTCATTTAACAGAAAAGACTCTGCAAACCAAGAATACAGAATTTAAAAGTTCAGATATTAAAGAACCAGTAAAATCCTAACAGTGGGAAATGAATTACAAGAGCTGTAAATGCTGTGGTCGTACTGTTACACATTTTATTATTTTTTTTTATTGAAATTAAATCTGAAAAATTTGTATCCAAAAACAATGAAAGCTACTGATGGAGGCAACAGGTGCAACATATAATATACATTTTTAATGAGTTCAGCATTAACTAACGCGACAATATTCTGCTAAATATCCTTTTACTTCTTACTCACCTGTCTGCTGTACATTTCCAGCCCACATCTGTCGTCTCCTCATCTCAGTCTTTCTCTCTTATTTATAAAATTTCAAAAGTGAAACTCTAATTTGAGGAATTCAGAGACCCAAACCCTGTCCAAAAACCTGAACTACCCCTTTAACCTACCTATCCAGACAAAAAACAGCAACCTCTGCTTAGCTTTTTTGCTTCCTTGAGTCAGCATCAGTGATCAAAGCCTAGCCGGATGTTTATCCTTGTTTTGCACCTTTTTTTGTTTTCTGGATTTACTTTTAAATGCAAGAAGAAATAATTTCAGAGCTTTAGGAATTATCAATACCTGAGCTCCATCATGTGACTTCAACCTACTATCTCTAAAGTTAAGATGATAAATATAAGTCATAAATTAATGTGTTTGATGAAATTATTTTAATATGAACTTTAACTTAAAGGTATAAAACCATTAAAGATGTAAACAACTAGATTAATCCAGATCTGTTTTGAATATGATCACTTAAAAAATATTTTTCTTCTTCTTTTGTCCAGAGAGAGTTGATATCCTTGATGAACCTGTGGAATCAATCGACCATGTAGCCGTTGTGACCTCCAACGTCCTGTTCTTTATCGTCATGTTCATCTTCGCCGTGTTTGAAACGTAGGTGATGCAATGAAGCACTGTTTAGGTTGTGAAGTAATACCACTGCAGTCCTAAATGCGGTTATTTTTGTCCAGGATTTCCACCCCTCTGTCCATGGACATGTTCGCCTGGACGAGGAGAGAAGCTGTGCTTTACAACGGTATCATTATGGTCGGGATTGGATTCCAATCCATCCTGGTCTTTCTGGTGGTCAAAGCAGCCGCCTCCAGGTAAAAACTTTACTTTTGAGTTGAAGATCTAGTTGAGCTTTTTGTTTGAGTTATGAAGCAGCTGCTTTGTGTCCTCCCAGGTTCGGGGACCGTCCCGTGTTGCTTGCAGGTTTCTTTATCATATTCTTAGGCTTCATCATTCTGCTTCCGTGGGGAAATCATTTCCCTAAAATCCAGTGGGCAGGTATTCTGTCAGAAAAACAACCATCAATTGAAATATTTTTGAAAGAAACCTGAATTTCACCTTTGTTTTCTTTCTTTGACTAAAAATACAGACCTGAAAAACAACTCTTTGGTCAGTCTGAAGACTGAGGTTACGTTATTGGCCAATGGGACTGTGGAGCCGACAGGCTGCCCCTACGAGCAGACCTGGTGTCAGTATATCCCTGCTATACACCTGGCTCAGTACATAACATCAGACTTCCTCATTGGGGTGGGTTACCCAGCCTGTAACGTCATGTCCTACACCCTTTATTCCAAAATACTCGGACCAAAACCTCAGGTACGTAGATTAGATGTATTTTCACTAAATAAAAGTGATAAAGATGCCCGCGGTGAGCTTTAAGTGTGCGTTGATGTCTTCAGGGTGTATACATGGGCTGGATGACCGCCTCTGGGAGCGGGGCGCGAACGCTGGGCCCCGTCTTCGTCTCTCACATCTACACCCTCCTGGGACCCCGCTGGGCCTTCAGCCTAATCTGCGCTATGGTGGTAGGGGCCGTCATCCTCCTCCTCTCAGCCTACCACAGACTCATCGCCTTTTCTGTTCGCCACGGGAGGATCGTGGAGTGACGGATCACTAAAAGGACTTAATGAAACTTCCTACTGGTATATTATTCCAGGTTTTCTGCTGTGACAGAAAATGTGATTGCTGCTTCTTATTTGAAATGTGGGGACGGATCAATTTTTAGATTGTAACTCAGGGTTTTAATCTTAAACCTTAAAAGTAAAGAGATTTTAATGGGTTGTTTCTATTGAAATGACTGGAGGCAGATCCACTAGAGGGAGCTGGTGCTGCACCTGAATATGCTCTTGTCTTAAAGGACTATTACGCACCATAAAGAACAACATAATTAAGCTTTGTTGTTTTAGTGGTGCAAGAATTAAGAATTTCCAGTTTAACTTTTGACCATTGATGCACTATAACAAGAATACAGATGGTATTTTTAAAAGATGATTTTAATAGCTTTACCTGTAGTTTGAAACTATGGGAGTTTTTTTCTCATTCCTAATTTATTCAGAAAGATATTTCTGAATGTTTTTTTGGATAATAATGGACTGAATGATGCATTAAATGTTTAACCTGACATTAATTCTCTCTCTGTTTTGCTTCATTATCCGTCCAAAATATTTCTTTTTTTTTATGTTTTATCCAAAGATTGATTGAACTAAACCGTTTTCCTTTTTTCAGAGTTTTAATGTCAATGCATTTAGTTACTGTGTTAGTTATATCTATAAGCAATGCAAGAAAACCACCAAAATAAAAGGAATAATTGAGTCAGTGCTTAAATACAAATATGGATATGAACTGAAAGAGTTCAAAGGAAAAGACCACTACTAATTGAGAATAATCTTCTCACATTTACTGCAAAGCTTTTTGAAAACTATCATATCTACTTTGAACTAACACAGCATTTCATAAAAGAGAACAGCACACCCAAAGTCAAACACAGAGTGGGTGGTGTGATGTCCAGCCATCAGTTTCTGACCTTAAGCTGAAACGTAAAATGAAGATATTGGAGTGCATAGTAGTAGTTAAAACCTAAATCTGATTGGGATGCTATGAGAGGATTTAAACAGGATGTTTATACTGTTAAATGTTCCACTGTGGGTGTATTAAAATCAGCCCAACCAAAAAGGGTGAGTATACTTCCAGAATGAACTGAAACATACAGTTATCACAAGCACTTCAGACAGTTTTTGAGCCACCTATGGTCATACTACCCATTATTGGGTTTCAAAAGTATTGTCCAGTTATGGACAGATTTCCTTTTCAAATGCTTTCAAAAAATTATATTAATTGTAGCACTTGTATGTGAATAGCTTTTTGTATATACATTTTTACAGTCAAAAAAGATGTGTTTATTAAAAGCTAAATCAATCAGGGAGGCAGCATTTTATTACAGAATAATAGAAATTGAATAATGCTTGAAACAAGATTGGTTGTTTAATTGCTTTTTTTTTACTTAGTTTTTTTTCGTGATCAATAGAAAGGGGGTGAACACTTTTGCAATGCACAGATGATGAAATATTAAATATTAAATACAAATGTGTGGGCATTAATTATCACCACTTATACATTCAGAAGGGGGCAAGAGTTTTAGACAATTTTTTATTAATCACCAAGTATTGTGCTATTGTATGGAGGACCAACTCTGCCATATTTAAAAATAAATACATAAATAAATAAATGCTCAATAAATAAATAAGCATACAATGAATTGCCCCCCAAAATACAATAAACATAAATAAATAAACATTTATTTGTTTGTGTTTTGGGGGGCAATTGATTGTATGCTTATTTATTTATTGAACATTTATTTATTAATGTATTTATTATTACATATGGAAGAGTTGGTCCCCCATACTGTTGGGGTTTTTCGATATTTGATGTTTCACAGGTTTTGCAGAATTGCTTCGGGATTCGAAAGCGGTGAACCGGATGTTGCAACAAATCCGAACCGCCCATTGGTTGGAGCGATGACGCCGGTTGACGCACATCCGCTTCCTGCTCTAAGAACGCAGCGGCTTCACTAGTCAGGGCGCGCGCAGACGAAAAACACGGCTAAAGTTAGAGTCTGCTGAACGTGGCGCTAGTATAATTTTATAAGCTGTTTATTTAAATATAAGTGTTTAATACGTTGGCGTTCGGTGTGTTGTACGAAACATGCAGGCGTTTGACGAAGAAACCGGTAAGAAAAAAAAGCTCGTTTTGACTTGTATAGAAGTTGGTGGCTAGTGGAGCTAACAAGCTAATTGGCTCGGATAGCCGAAGTAACTGTTGTGTAATGATAAAGGACTTAAAACGTTTTTAATGACTCAATTCTGTTCATTTCTGTTCTTTTTTTGTAGAGATTACAGATTTCTATATGATGGTAAGTAGTCTGGCTTTTTCTTTTGTTCGTAGTTGAAGCTAATGGAGTGTGTTTGCGTTAGAAGCTGGGAAAGGTCCTGAAAATAACGGCTGCTGTCCTGAATTTCCCCTCAGATCTGGCCTTGGATCAATTCTTTATCTGGGTTTAAAAAAAAATCAACTTCACATGATTACTTTACACATTGATCTGAACGATTAACTATTTTACGCCTATCCCTCCCTAAGAATTACATGAAAAAGTTTAACTTATGCCTTTTTTGGCAATTTTGTATTGACCATTAGCATGAGAATTGGTATTAGAAAAGACTCATTCTTTGCTGGAAGTTTATATCTTTTAAAGGGGCAGATACGTTTGGTGAAGTTTTTCTTTTTAGATAGAACTATCACCAATTCTTTGAAATGCAGCTATTTTTTTCAAGCAGAAAGCTTGCTGCATTAAGCATAATGAACCCTTAAAAAAGACTCCTACTTATTTTAATGGTTTGTTTACATACCACCACTTCCCCTGAACTGCTTAGTAGCAAAAAGTATATGCCATGTCTTTATTCACCATCTCTGTACCCTGAGATGCAATCTATAACTTTCGCTCAGTTTGTTACTTTAAAAGCAGTGTTGATGGTTTATTTCTAGCCCTACAGAATAGATACTATTGTAGAAACTATCTCTCACTGTTGAGGAAAAACACTATTGAGGTTGGTAACCTCAAAAATGATATTATGCTGTTCAAATTATTGTTTCACCACTTTCTACTGTAATAGCTGTAGACAAGTCAGCAACTTGATATTAAGATCCGGCTCTAAACTCTTTGTAGTGATGGATTTATTGCTAAGAATACTGTTGAAATCTATTTGCTTTCTAACATGAGAGTTTATAGTCTCTTGCGATAAACAGGGCTTATCTCCTGGTGTGAATTAAATGAGTTGCGTTTTCCTGGGTAAAGGCAAGTGAAACTTAAGACTGCTGCAGAATAGCTCCTTCCCACAGCATCAAAATATAGACTAAGGCAGAGGTTCAGTTAACCTTCAGGGCTTAATTTACTTTTTACATCACGAGATGCTGACCAGAGCTGCTGATTTGTAAAACGGCTCGCGTGTTCTTCTCTCTCCTATCATTTAGCAAAAGGTTGTGGGTTTATTTGGGAACCAGCCTCATATGCAGAGGATAATAACATGTGGCCTTCTGGGTAAGGGAATACTTTAACAACGAGGCGTGCACCTCGTATTCCTCAACAACTTGGTGTGTTGAATGTGTTAATGAAATATTCTTGTTTCCAACAGGCGTGGAGTATGATCCAGATATAGATCTGGATGACTGTGAAAGCTGGGCCCACCGTCCGAAATTAGACGAAACTTTTGTTGACGATAGATTAATAAGAGGCCGCGCCAGGGGGGCCTTTCGATCTGAGCCCCCTTTGCAATTCTACTCTTCAATTCGTGGAACACCTAGTCCACCAGCTTACACAGTTTGGGAGACGGTGAGTCCAAATAATCCACGTGTTTTGAAAAGTTAAAAGAATATTGGTTTGACCCGAGTATTTTTCTTCTGCTGCTTCAGGATTCTGAACGAAAAGCCAGATTATTGCAAGAAACTAAAAAGAGCAAAGAAAAGGCTGAGAAAAAACGGCTTAAGAAACAGGTGAGTGTTTTTCTTCAAAAGGAGGAGTGGAAAGGATTTAAAACAATATGTACAAAAAAAGCAACATATTCATATTAATTGACATGAACTCAGCATTGTGTTACATATTATAGTTTGACATAATTTAAATTAATAATAAACTTATGGGTACAGGGTTCCCGCGGGTCCTTAAAAAGTCTTAAAGGGCATTGAATTCCTCAAAATATTTTAAATTTCAAAATAAATAAAAAAAATAACGACTCTCCATTGTTGGTTCCGTCCCGATAGCGGAACTAATAAAAGCGTTGTTGCGGCCAGGACATTTGGGAGATGCACCATCAACTTTTTGTCTGGAAAATATGAGCAAGTATAAATGTAACCAAAATTGGCTCCAGCCAAGAGTTTTCTTCATGGCTAAAACCAGGGAACATTCATGAGACAAAGTGTATTTAAGGCAGTGGAGTCGCATGCGAAGCGCCAAACACAAAGCTTCAAAATCGAGTTACCGAGAAAACAGCTGAGAAACAGCCGGTATTTCTCCCTTGTCTCTGCAAAGCCTCCACTTATCACCAAATCAAACATACTAAGAAAACGATACAAAGAAAAATAGCTGCAAAAAAGACTTAGCACTGGTTATGTTGTGGCTTTAAAACTGATTTGTTTTGTTCCCTGCTAAAACAAAGTTTGTGAATTCAGTTAAATAATTGTTAAAATATATCTGTCATTTGTGTGTTTTTAGCTTTGTTCCTGTATGGGAAGCTTTTCAAAATTTGAAACAGTGCAATGGTTTATGTTATAATAAACCTTTGGGTTAAGTTGTCGCAAGCAGGTTTTTCTTGTTTCTTGTGAGTTTGGTCTTAAATTTTTATTTCAAGTGGCATTAAAAAGTCTTAAAAAGACTTGAATTTAACTTGCCTTATGCTGTAGGAACCCTGGGGTATGTATTGTTAGACCCATTCAACATGGATCCGGTTCACGACACATCCATAGAAATGGCGCAGAAACTTTTGACCCTAAATACATTCAGGGAAATAAGCTACAAGCTAATAGATGCATTGATCTGAACTATTGAGGTGTCAATCTGTTCATCAAACCATGTTTTAGGTGTATAGGGTAAAAGAAAAAGCTATTAGGATATTTTTTAATAAAAACATGTCTATTTAATGAAGGGAGTCTAAAAAGGAGCATGGGAAGTAACTTATTATTCATCCCCATCATGTTTTTTTTGCTCATATTGTAGTTTTTAAGAAATTGGTTTTATTGCTGTCTCAACAGAAACGGAAGCAAAGAAAACAAATGGAGAAGGAGAAACAAAACCCTGCAAAAACCGAAGAGGTAAGGATCAACATTGAGGCTGTGATCAATGCTTGTTTTGAAAATTGATTCATCTGTCGATCTGTGTTTTCTTTTATTTATTTTTTTGCTTTAATTGATTAATAATCTGGTAGTCAAAGGTTCCTTAAAGAAGATTTTTTTTTTTTTCACGAAATTAAACTGGGTTAAATTAAAACGTTTCTACTTGATGAATTCTGGTAAGAACATGACAGACGAAAGTATTTTTATGTTAAATGCAAAATGTTTACTTTTTTTTATTACAAT